ATGTACTCGAAAGACTTGATGGGCGGCGGCACGTCTTCTCCTTCTACTAGGATGTGCCACTTTTTGCGGACTGCGTCACATTCTTCCTGGGTCATGTCTGCGATGCTACGCGGGGGTCTCCACGTGGTTTTCATTGATTCTTTGTAGTGGATTCCCTCGGCACGCTCATGAGCCGAGACCAGCGCCACCTTCTGCACGTAGCTGGCCTCTTTGAGCATGTTAACTTCCTGGGCGTCCTGTTGAGCCTTCTGCTGGTTCACACCCTGCTCCTCCATCTTCTTGCGCATCTCGTAGGCCTGGTCCAGGAGACTCACCGTTGATCGTTCTTGCGGAGGCGAAGGCTCACCCAGTTCAGCAGACGACGGCGACGCATCGGGGTTTGGGTCGTTGGTCTTCTGTCGCTTGCGCTTCTGTTCGTCCTCATCGCTCCCGCCGTCATCGTCGCTGTGCTCGTGTTGGATGCGCTCCTGCAGCGCCTTGCGTCTATGCTGCAGACGCTCCTGTTCACGTTGGCGTCGCACCTTCAATGGCACGTACAGCGGCTCATCAGACTCCTGAAAGCCAAACGCGTCATTCCCCCTGGGTGTGGACTGGGTAGTTCGGAGGACGATGAGGATGAGGAATCTGACTGGTCCGACGGCTCAGGGCCTCCTAACCGATCGTCGTCAAAGCGTACGCCGTCTGTCGGCCCGTATCCCTTCAGTGGCCAAGGGCTTCAAGCAAAAGTACGGCATCGACTACACTGAGACGTTCTCGCCGGTTGTCAAGTACGTGACGTTGCGCATGGTGATCGCTTTGGCCAAGTACTCGCCTTGGACGCTGGAGATTGTGAAATGTTCAAAAGGGGAAGACGAGATCTTGGGAGTCTTGGCCGCGAGCATCACTCCTCGAGCTAAGATGGATGAGGCGCTGACTAGGGTCGCTCCTAAGAAAGAGCCCAAACGCCGGATCCAGATCTCGATCCCGACGGTACGAGTGGATGAGGATCTGTACGTCCTGAGTTTCGATGGATCCTACCAGCGTCCGGTTCATTCGCTCAGCGACACCGTTTAGTTGAGGCGTGTACGGAGGCGTAAACTTCTGCACGATACCACGACGCTTGCAGAACTTAGCCATCTCGCCCGACGTGTACTCGCCACCGTTGTCACTACGAAGCGTCTTGACGACTTTGCCGGTCTGTGTTTCCGCAAATGCGACAAACTCAGCAAACTTGTCGGCCACTTCTGACTTGTTCCGGAGTGAAGATCAAGGATGGGGGATCCAAGGTACTGCGGGAACACGTGGATCATTTCATCGAGACGTTGGGAGATGTGGATCTGGCCGACAGGCTGACCCTGCTACGACTTCCTGACGCAGACGAGCTTGAAGAAGTACTGCGGGCGGTGGATCGCGCGAAACACCGCCAGAAGAAGGCGGCGGTGTCTTTGAATGGTAAAATACATACGTTTCTTGCAAAAAAACATATA